AAATAGAAGAGAGAAAATCAAAGTTGATTATTAATTAGTAGAGCTGATGTAAACGTTACCTTTCCATCTATTTTTTGACAGAAAATTTAACGGTTCCCTTTTATTCAACACTAATTGAAATTTATATATTTTTACATAACAAATTAAATTTTAATAACATTAATGTAATAGGTTCTATAATTTAGGTAACACCGATGAAATTAAACCACAGCTTTTGACCCATTCCAACTAGAATTCTAATCTTGTAACCAAACGGCAGTCTTTATGTCTATTATGGGCCACCTCCCTTTCATATTCTTATACAATAATTAATAAAAATTTAAAATTCAACAGCTTCCATCGTCTTCCTCGATCGAGATCTATAATCAGGAATCACATCTCTCACGCAACAACAACTACAAATTCGCAGAGATGAAATTAAACGGTAAGAAACTCTATCATGGGCCACCTCGCCTTTCATATTCTTATACAATGGTAATTTATATATAAAAAGTTAAAATTCAATCGCTTCCATCGTTCTTCCTCGACGAGATCTATAATCAGGAATCACATCTCTCACGCAGACAACAACTATCAAAATTCCGTCAGAGATGAAATCTACGGTAGAAGAAATCTAATTTATCAATTTAATTTTGTTCCGCCGATGGGAAAGTGGCTTTATGAGGAAGAATTGGTGTGTTGTTAGGTTTTTTTATGTTGTCCTTTGTAATTTACCAAAAAAATATCATATATGTTAATTTTAAAAATATAATAATAATACTTTGATTAGTAAAAATTTTTGTATATTGATTTAGTTTAAAAATTTAAATAAGTTATTATTTATTCCAATAATAAATATCCATTTAACGGAGGGTGAGTGATTAAACATTAATTGTTTACATGATTAATTACTCTGCTTCATCCCTATAAGGTCATTTTTTAAGTGATTATTTGTTTCAAAATATAAGTCGCCCATTTTTTGATGATTATTTGTCTTAAAATATAAGTCATTTTAAATATTTTAACGGAATAGATTAATTGATATTTTTTCAAATGTTTACCTTATTTATATTTTTTAGTTTTTTGAAATAAGAGGTAAATTTGGTCAAATTACTTGTACTCCTTTCTTGATGTTATTATAATTAGTGGAAATTAAGTTGTTTCGCTTACTTCCCGCAAACTTTAAAAACCATTTTATAATTTGGAACAGAGCAAGTAATATTTAATAAATAATACTCTAATATATGTGTATGCTATTTTTATGTACGTGTGATTTTTATGAAGCATAATTTTTTTCTTCTTTTTTCTTTAAAAAAAACTGTTCCTTATTAATTAAACTGGTTCATAAACTATTTCAACAGCTATACACATCTCGATATTTGAATTGGGATTTTTGACTGGACGACTGGAAACTTCCACAGTAAGGTAAGCTCACAAACCGTAGATAGAAGAAATGTACTTCTTGGAAAAATAAAAATGGCGGAAATATATAAATTTCACGCTGTGTTTGTTATTTTAATATTGTCCCAATTGTGTATTGAAGGTTGGCAGTTACAGAAAATATGCATAGAGAGAGGGAGAGGTATCAGCGAACATTAATTCCTGATATCAAGCCCATACCTTCTTTCTGTTATTTGAAGTAGTTATATTGGACATAAGATCTCACTAAGATTGGTGTTATCAGTTATCATCATCGATATTTGGTCATGTATTATTATCATTATTATTATAATCTCACTAAGATTGGTGTCTATCAATTATCATCATCATATTTGTCATTATTATTATCATTATTATTATAATTAATAATAATAATAATATCATCATCATCATCATTATCTGGTTAAACCGAGTTGATTTAGTCCAGCGTGACTTAGTTATCATGCCAGTTGAATGTCCATTCTTGTTTTGAAAACATTTTTAGCAAGAATCTTTAAGATATTGCGATTAACACAAATGTTAGAAAGTTTTCTCGGAGTTATTTTCACCATATTTTCTTATAATTATCTCAACATCATCAAAACTATAAAATCCTATTAAAAAAAAAACTACAAATTAGCTTTAGTATCAATTTCAAAATCATCAAAAAATTCAGATTAATAAACAATCAATCCCTTTTTATGTGAAATATGTTTATAATAATTAAAGAAAATGGGAGTAGAGAAGAAAATAAAAAGAAATATTAAAGTTTTGATGAAATTTATTGAGAGGCAGGATAGAGGATAAAATTTTTATTAGAAGCACTTTTTTCAGAGTAATACTTTTAATAAAAAAATATTATTAATTTCGAACTAAACAATAGGAAAAGGTATTTTTCAAGAATACCAAATAATATAAAAAATAACTATATATTAGGAAAATAAAATCAAATCAAATTAAGAGTTTGACATGCTTGATTTTTATGCAGAAGTCCAACAAAACTTTATTAACACGGAACAATAGGATTTAATTTTCATTTTCTCCGATCAAGCGATCGATCAATAAATGGTTCAAACTCTGTTGGATTTGTCTTCTCCTCATGAAAATAGGTAATGGGAAGGAAAAGATGAAATTATATATAAAGAGAAAAGAGAACCAAAAGCATGGTTAACAAACATCTATTAATGTTTTAAATTGCTATTAAAGGACTGGGTTGCAAAATAAGCATTCTAAACCGTCATTCTATATTGTCATTCTTGCACTAATTAAAAACTTCTGCTCAATGTTTGATTATCTACAATATCTCATGCTACAATAAATGAATCGTCGTAAAAAAGCTACTCTCTTTGTTCTACTATAATTGTAACATTTGATATTTTCACAAGGATTAAAAAAATGATTGAAAAACATTGATGATCTAAAAATATATAGTAGAATGTCTAAATTATTATTTTTTTTTAAATAAAAGCTCCTCATTTAAGTTTGCTACAACCACCTAATAAATATGGGTAAACTTGAAAAAAAAAAAAATAATGTACCCTCAAAATTCTAAATGAGCACTTAAATGGAATAAGGTAAAATGCTCATTTGCAACTATTAACGTGGAATGGAGGAAGTGATTAAATAATAAGGATGATGACATGATTCCTGGTAAAAATGTCTCATATTAGCTTCACTGAATGTTCATTATAAAGGAGCTAAAATAATAAGGATGGCATGATTCATGGTAAAAATATGCAATTAGTCATAGAGGTAGTATTACACTACGCATGTGTAATATATTACTACGTTGGTCCCATTTCCTCACTTTAAAATTTTATTTAAAAATATATTTATTTCAATATTAACTATCTCGTAATATTAATTTTATTATTTTAAAATTTTAAACTCTAAAATTAATAAATAACAATTTAGATAAATTAATAGTCATTGGATCTAAGATTTTTTTTTTCTCTTTTTTCAATAGTAAACTCTTTGGAATTATGAGTAAAATACATTTTTATTATTTTAAAATTTTAAACTCTAAAATTAATAAATAACAATTTAGATAAATTAATAGTCATTGGATCTAAGATTTTTTTTTTCTCTTTTTTCAATAGTAAACTCTTTGGAATTATGAGTAAAATACATTTAAAATTTACTAGTCTTTTTTTATGACGTGCATTGTACGTTGAGTATGCTCGTTATATACTCATTTTTTGTACTCTTTTAATTTTTTTTGTCTATATAATTTAAAGCATAAGTTTTTATTTAAATTAAAATAAATACAAGTATTAATTTGTATTACAATTTGTCGTACAAGCTACTTGTAATGTCTTATGTATTTAATTTTATTTTTATATAATGAAGTGGTCTTAAATTGAATTGATAATAATAATCATTTTGCCTATAGTGTATTAGAGAAATGAAAATTACATCAATTTAAGTAATGAATATTACACATGTAATCTCAATTACATTACACTGTTAAAAAAAAAAAGTCTAATCAAACAATGTAATTAATCATATAATGTAATTCTCATTCTATTACATTGTTGACTACACCATACCAAACATAGCCTTAGTGCTATAGTTGATATACATAATAGAACTAATCGTATGTCTGCACGTTGTACGGGTCAATACTCAGACCATAAAATTATCTGAATTGAAAAAAAAAAAAAAATTTCATGAATCATAGATGTCTTTTAAAAATTTGTACGATTAATTTAATAGATGTAGTACTCATATACATAATACTCAAAAGGGAATTAACATTTTAACAAAGTAGAAAATAATTAAATTATAAAATAATAGAATGTTACATTAAATGTATAGTGTGTTTATTAATTATTAAAAAATAAATATTATTTTTTATTATTAATAAAAAAATTTATTATTTGGATTTTTAATTATTGCGAAAGAAAGAAATCAGGAATTTTTTTATTAACGAAATAAATTTGTTATATCATTATTAATTATTAAATAAAAAAATAAAAATTTTATAATTAATTTGATTTCTTCAAATTAAATCATTAAATAAAAATTTTAATATAACAAAATTTCACATCATCAACTAAATTTTACAGTATCACATCATATAATTAAATTTAATTGGAGTTTTATATATTTATATTAGATGGCTAACTGTAATTTTTATTCTTAACTTTCTCAACACGGAAACTGTACATTTTAATTTTCGTTTTCTCCGATCAAGCAATCGGTTCAAACTCCATCATCTTTTCTGATTTGCCTTCTCTCGATTATCTTCTCCTCATTGAATTTTCTTCAGAATTCTCTATTCTCTTCTCTTGAATTGGAATTCCGAGGAAGGTTGACATTGGAATTCCGAGGAAGGTTGACATCGCCGGTGGGATTTCCATTGAAGGTCAGTGTCTCCGGTGCAATTCTCGTCCAGGCGATTTTCTTCTAGTTCAACTGCGTCGTTTTTCTTCAAATTCTGAAGGCTGCCGCCGGTGTGGGCACATAGTCGGCAATCAAATTTTGTTGTCGGCTTGATTTCTAATTTCCAGCCAGATTGTAATTGTTATTGAAATAGCAAATAGAGATTGAAATCATTGAAATTTTGATAAATAATTGTAATTTCTGATATTGCTCTCGCGATGGGCATTCATTATAAGTTCATGAGTGCGAAAGATTACAATTCAATTCCATTAGATAATGCTTTTATCTCTGTTCTTTTGTTGAAAAGGAAAATTGTTGAATTGAATTATAAATCAAAAAAGAATTCTGATTCTAATGGCTTGTGTTTGGGCACTGATTTTGATCTCTTATTAATTGATGCTCAAACTAATGAAGAATATACTGATGATTCAATGTTAATTCCTAATAATTCCACTGTCTTGATTCGCCGTCTTCCTGGAACTCGGCATCGTAAGCCTATTGACGCTTCACCTATTCTTTTTGTTGAAAACCTATTCTTTTGTTGAAAAACAGCAGCCAAAAACGTGCCTTAAAATAAGAAAACTGCTTCTGCTTCTTCTGGTTCTTCTAGTGCTGGCTCTGCAAGTACTATTACTGATAATACTGGTTCTGCTAGTACTAGTAGTATTGGTTCAGGCATTAATGATTCTGGTTCTAGTAGTAATATTGGTTTATATAGGAGTATGAATGCCTCTGTCACTGCTGCTGCCACCAATTCTAGTTCTGGTTTTGTTTCTCGAATGACAAAATCTACTCTGGACTCTAGATTATTTGATAATGGTTTGTGTCCGATACCTGGTATGGGGTCTAGCACGAATCTGGATGAATTGGATGATGAGGATAGAAAGATTAAAATTCTAGTCAATACTCCGGCATTGCCAGGTTGGGGACTTGGGAGCGAAAGTGTTGGGGTTGGCAGAGTTGTCCGAAGAATGGTGGTTGGGGTTGGCAGAGTTGTCCGAAGAATGGTGGTTATGGTTTTTGTGGTGGATTGGAGAAGAAAACACCTCCTGAAGGCTATGTATGTCGCAGGTGTAGATTTCCAGGGCATTTTATTCAGCACTGCCCTACTAATCGTGATCCAGATTATGATTTTAAAAGAATGAGGCCTCCTACTGGTATTTCCAAGTCTATGCTGATGGCAAATCCAGATGGCTATTCTGAATTGTTGAATGTTGCTGCTGCTTGTACTGGTGTTTTGCAGACAAATGAGAAAGAAATGGAATGCTCAACTTTGAAGAGAGGAAGAGAGCACGGCTTTTTACTGATATTCCGGAAGAACTTCTCTGTCCTCTGTGTAAGCAAGTAATGAAATATGCAGTTCTAACAAGTAAATGTTGTTTCAAGAGCTTTTGTGATAAATGTATTAGGGATCATCTACTTCTTTCTAAGCTGAACTGTGTTTGTGGAGCAACAGAAATGCTTACAGATTATCTTATTCCGAATATAACTCTTCGGAATACAATTAATCGCTTTTTAGGGTCTGGTTCTGGTAGTAGCAGTAGCCGTGAAAGTGCTAAAAGCAATTCTGTTCAAATTGAGAACAAGCAATCAGCTTATTGTTGTTCAACAATTCTATCTGCTGAATCACTGCTGAATTCATCGAGAAAGAGCAAAACAATCCGACTCGACACAAACAATCTGCTAAAGACAGCCGATGAAGAAGTCCAGCAAAAGACAGTTTCTATGTGAATAGCAAAGAAGAAGAGAAAGAAGGAAAGCTTCTAAAGAAGAAGAGAAAGAGGAAAGCTTCTGAAAATGCAGAGGTTGTAAGCCATATGATGCCAGATGGCCCTTATGCCTATAATCCATATTGGGATGCTATGCAAGCAAGAATGGGAGGATATATGGTTCCTTATGGTGTTGGTGATATGACATATGAATGAGCCCTTTTGGCATGCCATTCCAACACTAGTAGATTTTTGAAAGCCATTCATATTTCTTTTCCTTCATTTGAGTTTCTTAGCATTTTTAGGTTATCTGGATTCTCTTGTAATTGTTGTTTTACCACTTCAAGGAAATTCCAATTTCTCCAAAAAGCTTTGCAGTTTGCACTAATTCATTGCTGGCTTTATTTCTTTATTATATGCTTTTTTATATTATTTATCGCAACTCATATTCACGTACAAGTCTGATCTATTTATAACAGTTTATTTCCGCATTCCACTATTTCATTATAGGAAGAGGAAGAATTCAATAACCACACACAAACTGACAATTGCTAGTGCATTCCAAAGCACTAGTGAATTGATGGCCATAGGTCAAGGAAACACTCCACTTGGAGGTTGGAGCTCTTGGGTTGTAAAATTAAATTTAATTATGAGGGACAAAATATATTTTTTAATGAATTGTGTGAATGTAGATATGGGGCAAAATTCAATTTGGACCCCAAATTATACCCATTTTGTCAAGTGAGGTCTCATGTCCTTATTGGATTTATTGCATCTAATTAAAATCTTAAATTATAATTTTGAGTTAATTAGAGAAAATTATTAATGGAAACTAACAAAATTGGTAATAAATTTTTTTTTTTTTTTTGGATACAAATGAGGATTGGAACACCGGAAGAAAAGAACACAACTAAAAAAAAGAATGAATCAAACTGCCAAAAGGATGAGATGGAATGATAAGGATCCCTATTCTCTTAATCAGAAATCTCGAGTTTGAAGTAACTTTAAAACTTGGTAGGGAGCACTTTACCCCTTCACAGGTCACACTTTGCGTATTTAACCTATTCTAGAAAATCACATAATTTCTCCAACACCAAATTTACCAACATGTGTCACAAAATTTGCAATGCCCATTCCAATAACTAGTGCATTCAGTTTCGTGGCTTAATACTCATGTCGTATATGTTGGGATTATAATTGATCCCGAGTGGGGCCCGTGGAAAAAATACCGGTGGTAGAAATAAAATAAAATTACTATTACCACATATACCTCCAATAATTACGTATTGGATGTTGATGATCGAATCCACCAGAAATAATAATCACGATAAAAATTTAAATAATTACCGTAAATGCCAGATGAAAAATAGGGACACCGAGATTTACGTGGCTCACCCTTCAACTGTTATGGGCTACGTTCACGGGACAAAAAAACTCCGAATAATTCTTCCACTAAAATAGTAGGTACAAAAGAGATTACAAAAATAATGGCACTCATGGCAACTCTAAGTGTTTCACCAAAAACACTCAAAAAATTAGATAATCCTCAACTATATACTATTTTCTCTCTTTCCCAATTTTAGGAACCTTTTCCTAAAATTCTCTACACTTAATTGTGTATTCCTATTCTTTGTTTTTGTGTGTTTTGGTCGAGAAAATCTTCTCCTATTTATAGGAGAAGGGGACGCGTAATTAACGCGTCCACAGACTGACGCGTTAATTAAGGCGTCCATCCTCCCTAATTTTTTTTCTTCATTCAAACGTGTGTGGGTCCCACACGTTTGAATCTCCTTTTTTCTTTGACTTGTTTTTTTTTTTCCAAATGTGTGTGGGTCCCACATGTTGGAGGGACCCCACAACAATTCTCCCCCGCCCGAGTACATGATGGGACTCTTCATTCCTGCTGCTTTGACACACAGTTCAAACTTCTCCTTCGGAACGACCTTTGTCAATATATCTGCAGCATTTCTGTCTGTGAGGATTTTTCGCAACTGGAACTGCTTCTTTTCAATGGCAAGTCTAAGCCAATGATATCTTACATCAATGTGTTTCGTTCGTGCATGATACATAGTATTTTTGCTCAAGTCTACACTTTGACTATCACAATAAACATATATTCTTGCTCGCAAATCACACGCCCATTTCTGAAAGGAATGCTTTAACACCAAGTTTCTTTACTTCTTGTTGCTGCATAATACTCTGCAACCTACAGGTCGTTGGATACTGAACCACATTCTTTTGTAAATCTTGATACCCAACGCGAGCTCCCATGAACACCGCATCTAGTTACTGATGTTCATCATTTCCTTAGAGGCTACTACATCCCCGGTTACTTGTTTAAATTGGGGCGATACTCACAACCAGATATTCTCACGGCTCTCGTGCTTTAGCGGATCATCCTTGCAACGAACACATCCCGGTTTCACAAACCCATTCCCTAGCTTCCTTCTGGTTCCCCCATTGAGCAAGTTCCATCAACTTTTGAGAGGACCCGAGAGAGCTGAACAGAATCCATAGGAACCTCCTATTCGCCTATCTCACTATATTTCTATCTCTTTGAATGGGCTAGGATTTTTCTATTACTTGAAAGTCGAGCGGCAGCGGAAGTGCTAACTGGTTTGCACCATCTATATAGACCCTTAAAGAACCGTTCAACATAATATTCTTCCTACCCGAGCGCTACCATCCACTGCAGGACTTTCCTGTCTCGGATAATCCCCATTCCGAGAATTCGCCTTGCCAATCCCAAATCCTTTCATTTCAAATGCTTTTTTGACAATCACTCTTTTAACGCTACTATCTGTGTGCATCCTGTCCACAATTAGCATATCAATCCAAACATCATAGAGAAGGATGGATAAGATTTACCATCAGGGATTTTGGACATATACACAAGGATTGCATCTTTCCTTTTGGTGATCCTTGATTCACCATGAAAGAATCAAAGACTTTTTATACCATTTTCGCGGCGCTTGTTTCAACCCGACAAGCTCTTCTTCAAGGACAAACTATGTCCTCTTTTCCCTTGACCTTTGAAACCTTTCCATATAGATTTCTTCTTCTAGATCCCCATGCAAGAATGCCGTCTTTACATCAAGCTGCTCCAACTCAAGATTCAAACTGGCTACTAGACCTAGCACCACTCGAATAGAACTCATTTTCACAACTAGTGAAAAAATGTCATCAAAGTCAATACCTTTCTTTTGAGTAAAGCCTTTGACAACCAATCGAGTTTTGTATCTCACTAGTTTGCCATCATCTTTCTTCAGTTTGCACACCCATTTGTTCTTGAGTGTTCTCTTCCCTTTTGGAAGTTTCACCAGCTCATACGTGTCATTCTTTTTCAAAGAATTCATCTCCTCTTGCATGGTGCATTTTGTCCAGCAATCTTTGTCTTTGCAAGATTGCACATCTTGGAAGCTCTCTGGCTCCCCCTCATCAGTAATCAAAATGTAATCAGAACTAGGGTAACTTGTAGATGGTTGGCATTCTCTGGTTGACCTTCTTAACTGAGGTTCAACTCCTTTTAGTGGGATGGGGTTCTCTGGCTCCCCTTGCTCAATACCCTCTGCATCACTGTTATCATCTACAATCGTCTCTTAATCCCCCACGACTAGCTCTTCTTCTTCTTCTCGTTCTGATTCTGGCATTCCTCCTCTCGTGACATCATTTGTAGGAATGCTACCTAGTGTAATATCAATAACACCATCACTTGTGTTGTGGATTTTTCACAAGTTATATCTGCCACGATCTCATTCTCGTGGAATACTACGTCTCGGCTCCGGACAACTTTCTTTTTCACTGGGTCCCATGACCTATAGCCAAACTCTTCGTCTCCATAACCGACAAAAGTGCAAGGAATTGACTTGTCATCAAGCTTTGAGCTCTGCTCCTTTGGAACATTAAATGCCTTGCAGCCAAATACACAGGTGAGAGTATGAAATATTTCTATCTGTCCAGACCTTCTCTGTCCAGACCTTCTCCGGGATATCAAAATCCAAAGGTGCTGAAGGTAGTCGGTTGATTAGGTAGACAACAGTATTGACAGCTTCTCCCCAAAATCGCTTAGTTAAGTTGGCCATTTTGAGCATGGATCTAACTCTTTCAATAATGGTATGATTCATCCGTTCAGCAACGCCGTTGTGTTGAGGCGTACCAGGTATTGTCTTTTCATGCCTGATACCATGCTGACTACAATAATCTAAACTCCTCAGAGATATATTCGCCACCATTATCCGTGTGCAAACACTTCAATGCCACTCTAGTCTCTCTTTACACCATCGCATGGAATTGCTGAAAGTGCTTGAATACTTGGTCTTTTGTGCGCTTGTGCGCAAACAAAGTGTATCCATGTTTTTCGTGAAAAATCATCAAAAATGAAGTTAGAAAATTATTTACTTTCCTCAAGTGTCTGACTTCCATGGGATACCACAT